CTAATAGTGTTAGCATTAGTCCTAACTAGCTTGTTACCTTTGCAAAGTCTAAAAACAGGAATCAACACACAAACATCTTATTCTAGTCTACATTCTGGGGCAATTATTAGTGATACAGCAGTGCTTAGTGACTTTATCTTCACCTGGAAGAGCAATAAATAGGCTAAATTAGCCTGTCGTAAGCTTTAGCAAGGAAGAACGCCTTTGAGTACAGGGCACCCTCCTTTGCCTTTAGCTAATTCTTTGCTCTTCCTGGTGAAGATAATGTCACCAAACGAAAATAAGATGGTTCTTCCAGGGTTCTTTAGTAAAGACTACCTAGAACCATAAACAATAGAACCGTTTACATGAATCAAGGGTTCTCTGCATGGTGAAATCGTTCTTCAGATTGATGGAGAATGTGCTGTATATGGTTCTACATAGAAGTTTTTTCAAAAAGGTTCTATGTAGCACCGAAAAGCGTTCTTCCACTGTTACAAGTTTGACATCATAACAATAGAAGAACCCTTTTTGGTGCAATATAGAACCAGAGAATCATTTACAGCACATTCTCCATCAATCTGAAGAATGATTTCACCATGCAAAGAACCATTTAATCATTCAAATGGTTCTTTGAGTGTTTATGGTTCTATATAGAACCATTGTCGTTGAAAGAGAAAGAATCCTTGAAGAACTTTTTTTAGAGTGACCCCATAAATCATGCGATGGTATTTACAGCCTCTCAACCCAACGGAACACCTATGGGAGGTTTCGGACCGACACGTTTGCCTGCATTCTCCCCCAGCACAATCACCAAAATACTCTCTGAGAGAACATCTTCTGGAAGAACGACGTTCCAGCCCTCCAGCACAGCTCCGGAGACTTGTAGAATCTCTGGAAAGACGTGTTGAAGCTGTTCTAGGTGGCCCAACACCTTACTAAGACACTTCATGCTGGTATTATGTTGGTGTTACATAAAACTGGAACCTTCTGTGTTGGCCCAAAAAGAAAAAGCACAGTTCTAGTTTTCTGGCACTAAAGGTTCCAGTAGTACGTGCAGTGGCCCAGAGTTAATAAGACAGATCACTGTATCCTATGAAACATTCTATCCTGAAGAGAGTCGTCTCTTCCAGGATGACGGTGCCTCATCCACAGTTCAGGAGGGGTCACTGAATGATTTGATGAGTATGAAAATGACATATGTGGCCTTCACAGTCACCAGATCTCCCAGCTGAACACCTATTTTGGACTGATGTGTTAGGCTGCATTCACCACCAGCATCATCAAAACACCAACTGAGGGAATCTCTTTCACAAGAACAGTGATCCATCTACGGCTGGGCGACATGACAATACTCATAGTTATTTATACAACGGTTAGTTCCGGCCAAGAAAGCTGATTGGTTGAGAAGCGTTCTAACTGTGCTGTTATTTCACCATAACATCACGGGTTTTTCACAAACACTGTATCACTCCGCTGAGAAGCACTGTGACAGCTGTAGGAGACGCTTAAGCCATTTCAACGTTTTTACTTCTTACTTTGCCACAAACAGAAAACGGACACTTTTAAGATCACATTTGACCGACAGCCGATTTGGTCAGACTCTGAAGATGAGACAACACTAAATTCCCAAACTGTCATCACCACTGAGCAGCTTTTCAGTCGGCAGCTGTGACAGAAGAACAGCTGAACAACCTGGAATCAGCCAGAAATGAACCCAACACCATTCGCCAAACTAAATGGGCTGTAAGATGCTTTACAGACTGGCTGGAACAAAACAACATTAATACTGATCTGGCAAAAACTGACAAAACTGAGCTGAACTTGATGTTGCGGCAGTTTTATGGCTCAGTCTGATTTGGTCAGACTCTGAAGATCAGACTACACGTTTGGCGAATGGTGTTGGGTTCATTTCTGGCTGATTCCAGGTTGTTCAGCTGTTCTTCTGTCACAGCTGTCGACTGAAAAGCTGCTCAGTGGTGATGACAGTTTGGGAATTTAGTGTAGGGAGCTGGAGAACGAACTGCCGGCTGTGCAGCAAGTGGGCGGAGCTCGTTACTCTGACGTAGCAACAAGCTGCTCGTTAAGGAACTATAATTTGGTGAAGGAACTGCGAACATTAAAACATATTAAACGCCGCGTTCACGGCCCAGTTTATTAATTTATTACTTTATTGATTTAACTGTTGTATTAAAGCAATAGAACACTCGAGGAGTGTGTTATCGCCAATAACATCACGGCTGTGATGATCTACGGCGACCAAATCACAGCCGTGATGTTATTTCGCGACAACACACTCCCTCTCGGGTTCGACTGCTTAAATTGATAATATTTTAATGATGTCACAATCCCACTGCCACCATTTTAGTTGGCAACTTCAAGTCCATTCAGCAGAGCTATGGCTGTTTGTAATGAGATAACAAAACCATCACCAGTTTTTGGTGCATTTTGAAGCGCATTAATCAGAGTATTGGCTTGATTTCATTTGATTTGTGGTTGTAGTGATGACAAATGAAAGCTAAAATCTGAACAGCTGAGATTTTCTGCTGTGTTATTATTCTTACATTCCTAACCTCGTTCAAGCTCACTAAATACTATCCAAAAAACAGAGCATACACCATTAGAAGTGCACTGATTAGTGTAGTGGGTGAAGTACAGAAGTGTGTGGTTTGGGACGCAGCGTTAGATCAGCCTGTGAGACGCGTTCAACAGCTGCTCCAGTGGCTCATTACATCTCCCCCGTGCTGCTCGTTAGCTGCTCAGTAACAGTTAAACATCTCCAAGGGAAAGTCTGAGGTAACTGCTGATTCAGGAGCATTTACTGAAGTAAACTGATGCATTTATTAAGGTGAGCTAATGTTGGCTTTGTATTCAACTTTCAAAATCCGTTCTATGTTTAAGGCGCCTCAGTGTAACTGCAGCACCATTTAAGGTGGAACGGAAAATTCCAATGAGAAGCTGGTGAATAAAAAGCTGACTTGAGCTTGATATTTATATACGGGTTTATTATGTGGCAGTTTTGGCAGCCACTTTAATTAGTTTTTACAAAACATCACACACTGGAATGTTCTGAACTCTGGAGATGTGCAGGCTGTACAGATCCACCAATCTAGCTAATCTTCGCCTTGCAGCATTTTCTGGAGAGGCATCTAAAGCATCTACATATCTTTAAATCATTTTAGCAGCCTTGTCATTTCTTAATGACAGAATCGAATACTATGAATAGATAAATTACATCACAATATGTTTTTCTGGACATGCTGTGGACATTGCCAGGGCTTAAAAAAACACCCCAACTGCATGTTTGACCACAAACAGAGCACAATTAGTCCTGTTTCACTAGAATTAGTGCAGCACAGCATAAAAAACATTGAAAACAAATCACTTCCCTGTTGTGGCTCCACAGCTGAATCAGATTTGTAGGTAAAAATAAAATAATCCTCCTTTACAGTAAAATAAAGCTCTGCTGATCGTTCAACACAGTTTAACAATAAATGGTCTTAAACTCTGGAGTTAATGTAGAACTGCTGATTCACCCTTTAACCCTGAAGATCAGCGCAGACTGCTGGTCACCATAGCAACACAGACAACAGTCTCGCCTAGCTAGTAGCTAACGAAACGACAAAGAGAGAGATTTAAGGCAAACATCAATTATTTGGAGACAAATGGAATTATTTGTGTTTATAATCACTCCAGCTGGTTTCTTGATTCGTTTAATCTGCAACGAGAAACTGACAAACACTAAAAAGTCGTGAAGCTGAATTCAGTTTCTCATTCGCCAGCTTCTTGTTCAAATTGTCCTGTTCCACCTTAAATGGTGCAGCAGTAACATTTTGGCACCTCAGACACCATTTAAGGTGGAACAGGAAAATCTGAACAAGAAGCTGGCGAATGAGAAGCGACTTCAGCCTCGTAAAAAGTTGAACGTTGAAATTCAACTTTTGTGGAAAAGTTTCCTGCTGGAGATGTGAGAAAAGCAGCTATATCTGAGCTAAAGCTTAAAGCGGAGCAAAGTAAGTCTGTGTTTTCTTTTATATTATGTTTAATCTGTACTAGGACATCAGCACATACTGCCAATGGTGGATGGTAAAACAACTTAACGTTTGGGTTGCGACTCCTGGTATAAGGGCTGTGTACTGATTGTTTGTTAGTACAGTAGATGGGTGTGCAATTTTTTTCTCCATTCATTTTTATAGGAAAAAATTAGTTACCTAACAAAGATTTTACGGAAACCGTACGTTGGATCAAAAACCTGTATGTAAGCACACCATTCCCGATCGGACCAAACATTCTGGAATTGGAACAGTGTTGATATAGTAAGTTACCCATTATTAATTCCACACCTGGATGCAGTGAAACACCCACATACACAGTAGTGAACCCACACACTAGGGGGCAGTGAGCACACTTGCCCAGAGCGGCCCTATCCACGGCGCCCAGGAAGCGGTTGGGGGTTAGGTGCTTACTTAAGGGCTCTACAGTCACGTTCTGTTGGCTCAGGGGATCAAACCGGCGACCTTCCGGTCACAGGGCTGGTTCCCTAACCTCCATATCCCATATCTCGAAAACCGTGGGACGAGTTAGCTGACAAACACTAATAAGAAGAATATAAATCGGATAACAACAGTGTTGCAGATTGCTTTGTAATCACTAATGAATATTGCGTTGTATCATGTATCACACATTCTGACTGAAGTATCGTGATATTACATTTTTTTCTATATCACCCAGCTCCAGTTCCATCCAGTACAATTCCAGAGACTTGGAGAATCGATGCCAAGGCGCACTGGCAGCTTGTGGTTGTTCCAACACTTAATTAAGACGCTTATATGTCTGTTCATATTTCCTTTAATTTGTCACTCGTCTGTAGGTGTAAACATGTGAAGTAAACAAACTACGGCACACATTCTCTACTTAGCAGCGAGCATCTTCTGCATGTAGCCGACCCGACAGAAGACTGACGTGAACTCTGTTGAGCTCTACAGGCCCATGTATCAAAGGTCAGCAGGGTTGGCACTCACCAGCACTCGTCCGGTCAGCGTCTGCGCAGAGATCATGACCCCGGCCCAGTCCTTGACTGAGGTCATCCAGCCGACCTCGCTGACCGCTGCAGCCGCCTCCTTTTTATCTCCAACTTTACCCCCTCCATCTCCGACTCCACTGGGGTTACTGACCCTCTGAACGTCCTGCACAAACACACACAGACGTCCGTGTAAACAGCACAGCTACTATTAACCCCGAGCACTCGCGGTCATCACAGGCATGCTCTGATTTTACGTGAATCGTTTCACGTTTGTAGCTCACGGACACAAGAGGAGAAAGTTTCTGATCCAAACCACACGTGTGTTCGTAAGCAAACAAAGAGGAGACGTTTTATCATCATTTGAATTTGATAACGTTGTTGTTGTGTCTGCAGTCTTGTTTTGCAGGAAGAAAGTTTTTTGCTATGTTCTCATTTTTAACTTTCAAAACAAACAGAAAAGGTTGGAAGTGCAAACTCAAACCTGTCCATACAGAATGTAAATCAAATGTGAATGTAATTCTTTATATAACACATACACACATCATTGTTGTTGGTAAAACCTCGTATCTTTACAGTAAAACGAAAAATCATACTTTATTTTTAATGTACGTCAATGGAACCAGACTTTTAGGCCATTTGTTTTTGTCCATTTCTCATGCAATTTACAAAAGATGTAAACAGCAACAGGCACTTATAGAGAATATAACAAAAACTCAAAAATCAACAAAAATGGATATTTTTGTTGATTTTTTTTTTGCTTTTTTACAGAATTTGAAAATGCCAGCTGCCCTTCACAACATGCCAAAATTTCACGATGAATGGACCAACAGAAAAGCTCCAATATAGCGACAGCATATATATTAACCATTTGAAAAAATGTAAAACATTTATTGTCGGCAATAAACGTGTTCTTAGCAAAACCAGGTGTGAGATGATATCTATAGGTAACACTGAGCTTCCTCGAGAAGAGGCTTGGAAATGGTTACACAAACTCATTAACATACATAAAATCACTTTTTGTATTCGAGCTCTTTTTTAATCCTAATAACAATCTCTATAAAATGTATATATATATATATATATATATATATATATATATATATATATATATATATATATATATATATGAAGAATTTCATATTTAAAACAACTTTAAACTAGTAAAGAACATAGTTTGGTTTTAGATTTCTGCTGGAAACCTTCAACCATCACATAAATGTATTAATTTCCATCTTCAGCACACGATTTAACAATGAAGGATTTATGAGAACCAAGGATTTATATTAACCAAGTGATCAATAGTACTATAAGTAACACAGCGCTTCCTCAAGAAGAGGTTTGGAAATGATTAAATGAACAAACTGGCATACATAAAAAACAGTTTTTATACTGAATAGATCTAATGATTTTATATTTATTTTGATATTAGTGTTTTTCTAAGCAAATAAACATTTACTGCACAGGTAAACAGCTACTGTTCTGACATACACACACAGTGCAAAGGTGCCTAAGCACATTATTTCCGGAAAATAATATCAAATGTAAGACACAAACATACAAGAGTTCACTTACTCACACATGCACAGACTGGACCAACACAAATAAATATCAACACAATTAAAACGTAAAATAAGACAACAACTGTGCTTGTGTGATATTTTATTCGTGTGGAAACAATGTACACCTATCAATCAAGCAAACAGCTGACAGCACCAGGGACCACTCTAACTCATCTTACATTCGTAATACTAACGAACACCTGGAAAATAGCGACAAGTATCCAGCATGTGTTACACAGCTCACATATAACACACACATAATCTCATCCCTCGATGTCTTTCTCTCCAGGAGCCATGGAGAAAGCAATAATCATAATGATACAATATCAACCACAGGTTTCTTTACAGTGGTGGTGATAGGAACCAGGGGTCGCCATGACTACAACACAAATATAGACATTTTATTTACTATCCAGAACCACCAGTGAACCTACACGAGTCTTCTGAGTTTATATGGAATGTTGATGATGGAAAATAGTGGAAAATCTGAAATAATACGTTTTCTTTGGGGACTATTTTGCCTCACAGCGTCCTGCATGTATCCCTCCACCATGAATGGAGTTTAAATAATAAAAAATCTCTTAAAACTATCATAAAACAGTGTCTCAGTCATCAGGCAGTGAATTCATAACCATATCATGTAGTAACTTTCTGTGAGGGAGCTTTTAGAGGTGGACGTCTGGTTCCTATCACCACCACTGTGAACAGTTCTGACTCTGTAAGTTTCTCTAGAACAGAGCGTTTCACACCAAACCACTCTGAACAACTCTGTTTACATCTGAACTGTTTAATTATGCAGGAATTTTTTAAAAATGGTGGAATTCTCCTTTAATCAGGCACACAACACTCACCGAAACACACGTATACACAAACACACACAACACACACACACACAAACATGCACTCAGAGGCGAAAAGGGCAGAACGGTTTTAAATGTCAAGAGGCTTTTTTTCTGGTTCACGCTTAATGAATTTATTTAATTAGTCACAGAAATTATTCTGCTTAAATTAAAGACTGCACACTGGACAAATTAACATTCATGTAAAAGCAAGTTAAAATCAGGATAAAAGCAAACAGTAAACAGGAATTAAGAATGTATGACCTACAGTGCTGTGCAAAAGTCAGAAACCTTCGTTTATTTCATTTCCAGTCAAAACAGCCATTAAGTACAAGTTACTCATCTTTAGAATCAGGAAAAAAACAGAAAATTCATAAATCTAATCTCAGCTGTTCAGTGTTCAGTGAGTCACTCTTTCCCTTTATTCCAGCTTCCATTCTTTTCAGGAGACTCACTTTCAGTTCCTCAAAGAATCTGCAGACACACCTCCAAAGTTCAGTCTTAGAAGCTGGTTGATCATTTTCTGAAGTAATCAAACACATTCAGTGGTGTTGAGGTCTGGACTCTGGGGTGGTCAGTCCATCGTTCAGCTTCTTTGTTTGATGTGTCCGTCTCCTTTTCTCAGTGAGGTTCTTCTTGATCAGCTACACATCCTTTCAGACCCACAGCGCTGAGTCGTCTTCTCACAGTGGAAGGATGGACAGAAACACCTGTGGATGTTTTCAGATCTGAAGCAGCTTGATTTTCTCCTCTCTCTCAGAGATGAAAGCTTTAAGTGCTTTTTATCTGATGGGGCAGTTTTGGGGTTGACCAGGTCTTCCAGGTGGTTGTTAAGAGGCCCATTTTCTCTGTAGTGTTTAATCAGTTTTTGAACTCATTTTACAGTTTTGGAAACTCTTGTTTTTTTCACCTATTTTTATTTGTCTTTCTCCTTCATTATGCAAGTGGATTATCTTGTATCTAATCTCTTCACAAATATCTCCTGAAAAATGAATAAATTGTACTTAATGGCTGTTTTGACTGTGAATTAAATACATGAAGGGTGGTACTGGTAATGTACTGCTGGCTTGTCTGAATAGAGAATTTACAGTATTAAAAGCAGGGCAGTCGAAGCAAACCCAATAATAACAAGTTATATTGATACATTATTAACAATACTAATTTTTGTAATCCCATTAACGCATTTTCCTAATTTGATTACTTCACCGATCCGTAGTAGTTCATGCTGAAGCCCAGCTGCAGGGCTGTATGTCGCTTTGCTAGAACACAAGACTCCTCTTTTTCAAATACAGCTTTTAAACGTCTTTTAAGGCAAAAACTTCAGCACCTTCAGCAGACCACGCTGGACAGACGCTCGCAGGAGCACTATGGAGAAATCAACAAGCAGCAAACTAACAAAAGCTCCAGTTCCCCTCAAGAACCTCCACTGAAACAAGAACCCACAAGCTGTATGAAGAGCGAGAGGCTACAATCACAGAGGAGCTGAACCACTGACTGTATACATGAAATATATGAGTAAGATGAGTCTTTAGCAACGGCTGAAACGCGGAGTTATACATTCCCTGTTTGAGTGGAGCGACCGGCGATCTGTTCTCCTGTGACCGAGTGTGGGTGACGAGGTCAGTGGTGTATCTGTACTGACCTACAGCGAACTCACCTCTTTCTGTACATCCTAACCAGCTTTAGCAGCGTTAAATCACAATGACAGTCCTCACAACTACAGCACTGTTACAGCGCTCAGTCATATTTAAATATTAGTGCATTCCCAAGCAACGAAAGTGAAAGAAAGAAGTGGGTTCATGCAGTTACGGCCCTGACGTAAACAAAAGTAAACTGAGGAAGCTGTGAGGCATTGGAGAGCGGGAGAGCGCTAGCTTTCCAGGCTAGCTGTTTTTAGCAGCTGGCTAACTTAAAGCAGCGCTTCGTCACTCGCACAGCACGGAGATTTGATGATACTGTAGATCAAACATGACACAAAAGCACCGCTTTCAGTTTAAACGTTCCTAAAAGGAGGACTCTGTTTGTCTGGTGTTGATATTTTGCGGTTCACCACTTAAACTACTACAATTGAATATCCAGTCGTCTAGCTGGTGTCTGAATACTGTGATGTCATTTGTAACGGGGTAGCTGAGCGCTAAAAATAATCTGTTTTCTTACTTAGATTATGACTATTACAAAATAGCCGTGCTTTTCCAGCTGGTAAAAACAGCTCAGCAGACACTCTCTCCCACTCTCCCATTACAGATCTGTGAAATGTTCCACTGTTTGAGTGTTTATTGTGTTCCGACCATAAAGGATAGTTTAAAACAGCAATTAACCCCCCAGGAGCAAAAATCAGCCTTCAAACTTGAAAGAAATAATGATTTGACATTTATCGCGGTATGTATCGATATCGAACAATAAGAATTTTGTTTATCGTGATAACATTTTTGGCCATATCGCCCAGCTCTATATGTATGACCCCCTGACCAGACATTGTATAAAAACAAATGTGCCCGTGTGTGTGTGTGTGTGTGTGTGTGTGTGTGTGTGTGTGTGTGTGTGTGTGTGTGCGCGAGTGCAGCAGCTGTCGGTGTGCGAGTGCGGAGCAGTGCAGCTCCTGAGGGATTTTATTTTTAACTGTAACTACACAGTCCTGAATGCCAGCCTGCTCTCAGCCTCCTCCTGCAGCCTCTCTCACTCGGCTACAGCACGACAGGAGAAAGTCGATGGCTAATGACCGCTGTTACGGTCCATCCAGGCAGGCCACAACATCAAAATGTTAA